TTTAAAGCACAAGGTCTTGTTTGAAAAAACGAGCATTATTTATTCTGCAACACTAAAACTGACTTTCCAGTCGGGAATTCCCCCCGGGGGTTTGATGCTAGTAGCCTCGTTGTGTGGGCGCATTTCCGCCTGGGGTTCCCTTCTCCATTGTTCCGTCTTTTCAACTGTCCTTTAATTCCTATCCCAGCATCCGGCGCCAAACGCGTGTCGGATGAATAACATCCTAATTTCCCCGCTGTTTGGATTCCCTGGCGAATAATGCTGGGGGGTACCATCACACATTATCACGGTGTCGTTCCCTTCCTCTTTTTACTTTTATTTATTAAAGGTAGGGTGTCTTACACCAAAGGCAAATCGTCGAGGGCGAAGAAGCACAGCGCCCTACTTTCCCCAAACACACGACTACGACGAATCCCCTGTGGTACCCCACGTCCCCCATTTTTCTGCTTTGTGGGATTTGGATTATGATGAATTAGGTCAGTTTGCTCCTTTCGGTATTTCCTGATGGATTATTTCATTTTATTTTTCTTTGTGGCNGTGTGCTGATGCTGGAATCCCCTGCTGTGGTACCCCACGTCCCCCATTTTTCTGCTTTGTGGGATTTGGATTATGATGAATTAGGTCAGTTTGCTCCTTTCGGTATTTCCTGATGGATTATTTCATTTTATTTTTCTTTGTGGCGTTTTTTAAAAGGGAATTGTCTGTGCAGATGTTCTGATGTCAGTGACGAGCTTTCATTCTCTGTCGTCGAGAAAAATTTTGAATGGATGCTTGCTTACGGTTATTAATTTTATATGGGTAAAAGTTTTTTTTTTTTTTAACTGGGTCTCATAAGATGTATTTGTTTTTATCTATTAGGTCTATATATAGGTGCTGCGTATATCATTAGAGAAACCATCGAGCTCAGATATAATTGGTGTTGGGAAATAATTACGTCTATATAACGTACTTAATTCGTTCCTACGCCAATTTTAAGGCGAAACGTCAGGTTTCTTCCATGAATTATATTTTATTTCAAGGAGGAATAGAAATCTATTAATTATTTTCCTGAAAGTTTCCTATATACAGATAAATTCAAATACTGTCCTTGAGTGTAAAGGAAATTAAAAGTTATGCTTTGTTAATGTTTTTACTTTATACTGTGACACGCGGTTCCCCTTTTTTCATCATCTTTTTGAACATTATATTTTTTTCTTTTTAATCAATATTCATTGTAACAAATTTAGTGTTGCCTTTCTTTGGTCCGCGAAAGATAAAAAAAAGGTCGGCATTTTGTTCCCTAAAATTAATGCTAAAAGAACCAATGATCACTTTTTTCAAGAAATAAAAAACTTTTGATTTTTCCAATGCAGACAAAATGTTTGTTGAGCGGAACAAAGTTTCATGTCCAATTTACTTCTTGGTTTTCCGTGGGTTTGTTGTTTTTTAAATGAGGATTTTTTGAATGAGATATCACTCTACTCAAATTTTGGCTTGAAATTGGGAGTTGAGAATTTTCACCCCGAAAATTATACTCCTTCAAAAACTTTTTAAAATAGGGATAAACAATTGGGATCACAAAAAAGAAATAATGAGACATTCTTCAAAGTAGCCTCTGATTTGGAAGGCTAGCTATAAATCTAATAAATCATATAAATCTAACAATTAAACATCTATAAATCTAATAATTAAACGTCTATAAATCTAATAATTAAACATCTATAAATCTAATAATTAAACATCTATAAATCTAATAATTAAACATCTATAAATCTAATAATTAAACATCTATAAATCTAATAATTAAACATGTATAAATCTAATAATTAAGCATCTAAAAATCTAATAATTAAACATCTATAAATCTAATAATTAAACATCTATAAATCGAATAATTAAGCATCTATAAATCTAATAATTAAGCATCTATAAATCTAATAATTAAACATCTATAAATTTAATTTGTAAAACAATAAAACACATTAATCAGCCTGGGACTGGCTGGGAACCTCTTTATCAAAGCTCCAAAAAATTGGGCTTATTTATGTCCCAACACAGTTTTAGCAACTCATTGAATTTCAAAATCACAAACACACAAGACAACATTACACAAGTCTTTTAGTGATAATTAAGTTAAGGTTTTAGTTCCTCTCAGTTTGAGAGTTGGCAGTGGAATGAATTCTGAGTTTTTTTTTTTTTTGGGAGGAAGAAGGAAGAGGAGAAAAGTGATTTTCCTTGAGTGGGTTTTTCTGTGTTTCTGATAACCTTTGGGAGGCAAATTCAAAGACCATGCTGTGCATGGTTGTACAGGTTTTGAAGGTTCTTTGGGGCAAGTTCTTGGGTGATGGGCTCCTGAAGCCCAGCATTATATTATAAGAAAATTTAATCATCAATATCCTGTAGACTATAAGAATACTGCAATGTATTCTTGGTAACTTTGACCTTGGGTAAAATTAGTGTTGTGCAGGGATATGTGTGCATGTATATAGTGTTGGTCAGTGTTGTAATAGTCATAGTCATAAAATGCTTTCAAGGCTAAGAAATATTATATAACAAGGCTGTACATGATTAAGGAAGAGGTCAGATTTGAGTACATTTTTATGATTAAATATTTAGCATGTATTCTGTTCATGTATAGTGTTTGTGCCCAAACTGATACAAAAGGGCGCGGAATTCAAAATAAAACACTGCAATCAGCTGTGGGGTTCAGCTGGGGATCTTGTTTTCAAGATCCCAAAGAAAAAGATGAAGGGTATTTTGTTTTTAACCCCAAAATAAGAATAATCACACAAATTTGATAACACACAAATTAGACTGACTCCAATGAAATCTTGCGTTAGACTGACTGTGTTTTAATCAAAATGGCGGCATCAATCTGTTGCAGGTTGAACATTCTGGAACATTCCTGTGAATTCCTGAAAGTAATTAAATTCCATATTGCAGGTGTTTATTGTACTCGTGTACGGAGGACAGGTGTAGTTGTTGGGCATGTATGCCGGGTACAGTAGAATACTTGAATTCTAAAAATTAAAATAATATTCCCCCCTCCTCAAAATCGCAGTGCCAGGCACATCCTGGTACTGGATGCGCCAAGCACTGTAGCATCTTTGACAATAACTTTTTCCTGCCATCATTGAAGGAAGTAAAACCTTGTGAAGGTTAATTATTACGAATATTATATAAAGAGCTCCGATTATCACTAAGTTAAGTTCAGTTCAGATTTACGTGTGCGTTAATCAAGTTATTTAAAAATTTGGGTACAGGAAATCCCATTGTCTCCAGAAAACCCCCATGTTAAATCCAATGCTGGGAATGTATAACAAAAGGCCGCCCAGGAAGGAATTTTTTTGAGCCAAAATTATCTGCAGGGTTATAAAAAAATTTCAGACTTTTCCTGACTTAGGCCTTGGTTCAAGAATCATATTTTTTGAATTTGCTGCCATCAAGGGGACAACATTCTGTACCAAAAAAAATCCCAAGTTCTCTGCACAAGGGTTAAAGGGGAATTTGAGTGAACAAATGAATGAATGAACAAAACACTTTATTTGGCGCTTTTCAGCGTTCACAAAGGGTTCAATCAAGATTTCCACAACCAAACTCCCTTCCCACCCAACCCAAATACACGCAATGACATTTAATCACTTCCGAGCAGGAAACAGAGCACAAATTGATAAACAAAAATAAAAGAAAATACAATCCACAAAATACAACTGGACATCTGACATGTATGCATACACCCATACATTCCCTGACAATGAAAATAAAATATACATAAAAATTAATTTAAAGCACAAGGTCTTGTTTGAAAAAACGAGCATTATTTATTCTGCAACACTAAAACTGACTTTCCAGTGGGGAATTCCCCCCGGGGTTTGATGCTAGTAGCCTCGTTGTGTGGGCGCATTTCCTCGTGGGGTTCGCTTCTCCATTGTTCCGTCTTTTCAACTGTCCTTTAATTCCTATCCCAGCATCCGGCGCCAAACGCGTGTCGGATGAATAACATCCTAATTTCCCCGCTGTTTGGATTCCCCGGCGAATAATGCTGGGGGGTACCATCACACATAGTGCCACAGCAAGGGAAGGAGAAAAATGAAAATAAATAATTTCCATCCCACAGAATGTGGTTTCCGTTTAGCAGCTCCCGCTTCTTCGTGTCGCGGGATGAAAGGGGTTTGTGTGCTGATGCTGGAATCCCCTGTGGTACCCCACGTCCCCCATTTTTCTGCTTTGTGGGATTTGGATTATGATGAATTAGGTCAGTTTGCTCCTTTCGGTATTTCCTGATGGATTATTTCATTTTATTTTTCTTTGTGGCTTTTTTTAAAAGGGAATTGTCTGTGCAGATGTTCTGATGTCAGTGACGAGCTTTCATTCTCTGTCGTCGAGAAAAATTTTGAATGGATGCTTGCTTACGGTTATTAATTTTATATGGGGAAAAGTTTTTTTTTTTTAACTATGGGTCTCATAAGATGTATTTGTTTTTATCTATTAGGTCTATATATAGGTGCTGCGTATATCATTAGAGAAACGATCGAGCTCAGAAATAATTGGTGTTGGGAAATAATTACGTCTATATAACGTACTTAATTCGTTCCTACGCCAATTTTAGGGCGAAACGTCAGGTTTCTTCCATGAATTATATTTTATTTCAAGGAGGAATAGAAATCTATTAATTATTTTCCTGAAAGTTTCCTATATACAGATCAATTCAAATACTGCCCCTGAGTGTAAAGGAAATTAACAGTAAAACTTGGTTAATATTTTTACTTTATACTGTGAGGCGGTTCCACTTTTTATCATCTTTTTGAGGATTACTTTTTTATATTTAATCAATATTAATTTTAAAAATCTTAGTGTTGCCTTTCTCTGGTCCGCAAAAGATAAAAAAAAAGGTCGGCATTTTGTTCCCTAACATTAATGCTAAAAGAACCAATGATCACTTTTTTCAAGAAATAAAAAACTTTTGATTTTTCCAATGCAGACAAAATGTTTGTTGAGCGGAACAAAGTTTCATGTCCAATTTACTTCTTGGTTTTCCGTTCTGACTGTGTTTTAATCAAAATGGCGGCATCAATCTGTTGCAGGTTGAACATTCTGGAACATTCCTGTGAATTCCTGAAAGTAATTAAATTCCATATTGCAGGTGTTTATTGTACTCGTGTACGGAGAACAGGTGTAGTAGCCTACCAAATTATTCCGCCACACTGTTATTCAGTGTTGGAATAGTCATAACATGACAACTTTAGCCTATGATGCCTTATTGAATCAAAAATACCTGACACATTTTTTAAAATCAAATTTTGTGAATTGTAAATAAATGTTATGCAGTTTAAATAATTCAGAAGGTGTGTTCGGTTATTGCGTTTGCCAGCTGAACTAAAATTTCAAGATTGAATTCGGAATTTTGTTCCACAACGTACCGATCCTCGTTGTGTATATGGACAGGACATGACTTGAGGTCCCTCAGTTACTTCGTAAGCCTGGGCCACATCTGGCCCAAGATCCCATCCCAGAAGCGCCGCGCACTTGTAATCCTTATTTTCGAACCCGCGAATGGAGTAATTTCAACGCCGGGGGGGATGTGAAAGTCTGAAGAAAAAGGGGAAGTCTGAAAGTTATATTTTGAAATTTGGTTGGCCATTCACACTTTTTCTGTCTGTTCAGCATACATTTAAAAAAATCAGTTTGGCTAACCTCTGACTACTGGTAAAATCCCTTTGATTTTTTATAGTTATAATTAATTTTGCATTGGATCAAAATATTCCAGAGGTTCCAATGGAAAACCATACGGGAATAAAGCTGTAAACATCTTGTATTATAACACATTTAAAACATTTTAATTCCGATGATATGGCGCATGTTGGAAGTTTTCTTGTGTCTTCACATACAATTATCGGAATTTACAAAGCAATGTTATCCAATTTTTAAAGGAGTTAATTCTGAGCCATTTTCTATGAAAGAAATTTCTGTGGGGTCCCCGGATCTTTTTTTTTCAACATATTTTCCCGTGTAAAACAATAAATATTTACCCTATTAATTTATAATATTTTACGGGGTAAAAATATTTTACCCCGTACAAAAAGGGCGAATCATGAACTCTGGCAGCACTGTATTGTATTCATTTCAGGAGATATGAACCACCTTTTTATTTATTAAAAAAATTTCTTCAAAATACTTTGTTTTTATAAATTTTTCTGTCAAATTTTTTTCTATTGGATCCCCAGCTATATTTTTTCTTTCAAATATTTGCCCATATAAAACAGAGCCAGTTATGGACTCTGGCACTGTAGTACATTTATTAAGATTAAAATTTACTAAAAAATTGAAGTTTACCAAAACACTCCATTATTAAAAATTTGCTGTAAAAAATTTTCATTGGATCCCCAAATTTTTGTGTGTTCAATTTACACTATTTACCCCCGTGAAACAAAGGCAATCCTGAACATTTGCACTGTATTTATTTCTTGAGATATGAACCACTTTTTTATTCATTAACAAATTAAATTTATCCAAAGAACTTCCTTTTTTTAATTTTTCCTGCGAAAGTTTTTCCAATGGGTCCCCGGATTTTTGTTGAAAAATAATTTTCCATATAAAACAAATAAGACAATCTTTAATTTTTGGTCCAAGAAATGTGAACCACTTTTTTATTCGATGAACATTAAAACACGAAATGTTCACTTGAAGTTTATCGAGAAACCTTGCCGTTACCCCGTGTAGGATGAACAGGTTCTGATACATGGCCCACTTTGGGGGTCGCAGGTGGCCAGTGGCAGTCAGAGGCGATCCTGTGGCGTCGAAACACGGAACAGAAGGGAGCCTTTTGGCAAGTGCACAGGGGGATTTGGGTTTCAAAATTGGGTTCCAGCAAGTCCCTGGGGGAAGAAAGGGGAGGAGGGTTGGGGTGAAGAAAATACTCTTGTACAGCATTGCGTTGTTGGGCACAAGGAAGGAATGTGTGTGGGGGTCTATATATATACAAGCCAGGGCACGGAAAAACTTCCTTTCTCACTAATCCTGGGTCTTTTTCGCAACTTCTCCGCCAGACAGGAAATGTGCTTTTATAGGTCCAGAGAAGCGTCGTTTTTATTCCTCTTTGACTCATCATGGTGTTCCTCTGCTCTCTATTTTAATGAGGCCTCGGTTGAGGGACTAGAAATGTTTCTATCAGTCCAATATGGTTGCAGAGTCGTAATTTAATGTTTTAATGCAGTGTTCTCCAACCTTTTTGGGCCCAACACCAGCAAATTTCCATTAAATTTGTTTTTGGACTGGGAAAATTTTCAAGCATTTTCTGCAGACTGGCAATGTTTCATAAAATTATTGCAGGCTCAAAAGTTTTGCTTGAAATTTGAAAGACTTCATGGCCAGCATTTAACCCTTGGGCGGCAAAGTCAGACTATTTTCCCAAAATTTTGTTACACCTCAGGGCAGAAAATAAAAAAAGGACAACAGGGATTTGAGGACAAAGTTGGGGAAAAACCCGATGTTTTTTCTTTTTGCACAGAAAAATTTTGTGGGAAAATGAAAAAAACTGCTATGCTAAGCAATGGGCTTTTCTCGGATTAATCCCAACTTAGCCTCAGCCCACCTGGAAGGTCTTTTCTGACCTTCAGAAAACTTAAAACATCACAGCATACAAAAATAATCTGATTTTGGCCAGCAATGGGAAAGAACCCTCTGCCGTCCAAGGGTTAAACAGTTTCTGCTTTTTTGCAAAAATTGTGAACCAATGAGAAGCAGCTACATTATATAGTGGCCTTCAATCTTAGAAAGGTGGAGTTGAGGATAGGTTTCTCAGAATGACTAAATTTAAATATTTCAGTTCAGGAGGTAGTAAAACTTTGTCTGAAGTGTTATTGGGAGAAACCCAAGTTTTTCTTTTTAAATCAGATAATTTCCACTGCCATTTTCTTTCCAACAGTTCAGAAAAAATCACAGACTGAATGGCTACTTTTGTTAATTTATTATGCAGCAAAAAATTTACTGCAGATTGGCAAAAAGCGTCTGTGACCACAGGTTTGTGAACACTGTTTTAATGTACAAAATATGTGTCTTATATGCTTCAAAAACACAAAAATTGCTCAAACGTTTGGGTGGTGAATCATGGACTTTTTTTTTTTAATCCAAGGCTAGATAAATAAGGGAAAAAAGGAAACTGGCTAATATCACTCAAGACAAAAATATAACATACTTTTTCTCCATTTTGCTTAGATGAATTTTTTTGTGGTGGAAAAGTAAATTTATTGCCAAGAAATCGGAGGTCCAAGAATGAATGCAATATTTTCACTGCGCTCAGTGTCAATTCTCTCCAATTCAAACCACAGAACCGACAGGCAGAATTCCACTGATTTTTTTGTCAAGCCAGATGTCATCGCAGAATTTTATTTGAAACCATTTGATAAAAAAAATTATTTGAATGCAAATGGAACTTTTCTACTGAATATATTGCGATCCGTCATCAAATATATTTTTGCCACATTACCAACTTCTTTGATTTACTTAAATTGATTCATTTTTCAATCGTTTTTGCATGAGTCCAAAATTTCTTCGAAAATGACCTTGGCCAATTTAGTTGAAAACTGCTTCATCTTTTGGAATCAGGTGGTTTCAAACAGATTCCATGATGACATGCCGTGGTGTGTTCAGAAATTATTCAAAAACAATGAAATTTCATTTTTGTCAGAATGGTTTATTGTATTTACTCAAGTACCACACGCATATTTTTTTTATAATGTGCAATAAAGTAGGATGTGTGTCAAAGGCAGGAATGAATATTTTCCAAATATTTTAAATAAATTTAGATGCGTCTCTTGGGCATGTGACAATGGGGGAATTTTGAATCATCAGTACATCACTAACTTTTCTGTGGGGAAATTCACTGTAGGAAGAATTATACAAGCTAAGACTCACGTCTTCTTTGAAAATGGTAATTAAGTTGAAATTGGATGAATTTTCCCATATGCTTCTTTGTAAAGAATTTTTTTCGAGGTTTTCACTTAATATTTTCCAGAGGATTTTCCAAGTTCTGCAAAGTTTTGTTGAATCAAGATTCTGCCTGTTTTAAGAGCATGCTGTACCTTATTGAATTTCAACTGAGGAAAAATAGTTTGACAAATAGATGGGAATCAAAACACGTTGGTTAGGGTTTACTTTTGATGTCCGTTGTTCAAGTCGTTTGAATGATCTTTGCTGAGATGCCTGCATCAATTTTTTTTTTCGCTGAGAAACAAAATATTGTCTTGTTCTTTGAGACATGAGATTTCAGTTCGGTATTGTGTTCGAATGCTTCACTTGCGGGTGCGTCTCAGATTTTTCGAAGTTCCGACGATGTCTTCAACAAGTATGTCCGAGAAGAGCTTTTTGAATCGCCATTCTCTTTCTTGGTGCCAACCTGGCTGCAATTTGAGAAAACAAATTTCATGTCAGCCATGGTTCATTCTCTTGATTTTGACTAAGCCAAACGAAACTAGCTCACACAGAAAATTAAAGCTCAAAATTTGTAAATGCATTCTTTTCAGTTTCGAAGGCAATAACGCATCCCTGATTTATTTCGAATATTGTAGTGTTGCTTTCTAGACAGCTAGGGGTTTAATAATTATATCAGTTTCATCAAGATAGTATATCACTGCTGGAATGACCTCCTAATATTGAATAATGCATTGTACAGTTCAAGCAAGAGTCAGTATAGACTGTATAGTGATTACTGTATATTGCAATACTTTCCCCACTGGCCAAAGTGATGGAAAAAAGAATATCACACAATTTAGCCAAGCAGAAATGGTGGCAATTTACAAGGATCTCAATTACAGTACTGAATAACTGGGAGAAATTCTTTGTTCTATGCTAACTTTGCATCAGTTGGTATACTGCAAATACTCCCTAATTGTCATTTACTTTGGATCCAAACTGAACCAACCCATTTCTGGTTTTCAATTTGGTGGAGATATCACAGGGTTCAGGAAAGGTTTATTAAATTTCTGGAAAAACCTGGGAATTTTACAAGTTGAATCATTGAAGGGTTGCTTTCAAAGAATCTGCACCCTACATACATTCCAACTTAGCATACATTAAATTAGCATACATTCAAACTCCCCGTGTTATTGCTGTGTTCCTTTGTACAAGTACAGTGAGACCCCCACATGCGGACACCTTGACCTGTGGATGATTTGACGTAGGGACACTTATTTTACCATTAAAAAATCACAAAAAAGTCCCAGCATGAGGACATTGACTCGACATAGGGACATTTTGCAATAAAATTGCAAATAAATTTCAAGCAAATTTACATGAGACAGATGTTTCAAACCCAAAAATTGATGTAAGAAAAGTTCTTGGGCATTTCTCTTGCCAATTTACCATCTATTTAGCAAATTTAAAATAATTACCTCCAGCATATACAGAGAGATTTCCTTCTCTCTTCTTCACTTGAATTTTATTTTTACAGAAAATGCCAACACACTGTACAGATGAGGTATCAGTATTCAATTCCCAAAATGTTCATATTGTGTTGAAATACATTGATTGAATCAGTTTAAGTTGGGAGAAAATTTTTATTTTTATTGAATCTCTTGATGCACCAATTATGTCCGCATCTCGGGGTCTCACTGTATATACCACATCATCACCTAAAGATGAGATGAGCATGTCCCAGTAAATGGATGCCATCCAGCAAATATGAAATGTCTGGGTTTTTAAAAAAATCTATCTTCCATGCACTGTAGCTCTCGAAAAAATTGTCTTTGTATTCGCAGAGAGATCTTTTCAGACACAATAGTATTCTCACCCTGTTGTGAAGGTAGCCCCTTGCTGTTGCGTCAAGAAATAACGCAGGGTCGTTCACTCGCCTTCGGAGTACCTGCACCGCAGTACTTCCACTTGATTCATCGGGACTTTGCGTGATGAAAATGAAGATCGGGCAGCAAGTGGTTTTCTTCTGAACTCCCGGTTCAGAATAAACCAGCATGCGCAATTGGGCATCCATCAGCAGAATTGCGATAGCCAAGTGTGCCTTCATGGTATTGTACGGCACAATGGATGGCGTCCTTCCTGGTGTTTTTTATTTATTTATTTATTATTTTTTTACTGTACTTGTCGAATTTCAAACAGATGAGCTCTTGCTGCAATCCTGCAAATGACAACAACAAAAAGCACGAGCATGAATAAACCGAGGGCTCTCAAGAATGTGATCAGCATAAACTTGAATGACAGAGCTGCAGATGGGGAAAAACAAAAAATTGAGAAGAGCAGATTACAGTGAGACCCCAACATCCGGACACCTCGACATATGGGGACAATTTGACATTGGGACATTTGTTTTTCAATAAAAATGGCCAGACATAAAGACACTGACTCAACATGAGGACATTGCATGATAAAATTGCCAATAAATTTTAGGATAATAACTTTTAGTTGGCTTAATTGCAAGAAACAGATATTTCCAACCCTGAGATCTATGCAAGAAAAATTCTTTGGTACTTTTACCATCACTTTTCCATTCATTCAGTTAAGTTAAAAAAATTACCCATAGCACATACAGAGGGACTTCCTTCTCTTTTTCTGACTTGGATGTAATTTTTACAGATGCCAACATTTCAATGATCTGTACAGTGGTATACTATTCAGTGCTCAAAATTTTCTTATTGGGTTGAAACAATATTCACTGAATCAAATTCAAGTGGCACACAGATTTTTTTCATGGAATTCTGAAGAGTATTTCTTCCATAAAACACCAATTAAAAATTATATTATGTAAGTCTATTGGGAAAACAAGACTTGACTTGGGGACAATTCAACTTAGGGACACTCTTGATGCACCAATTATGTCCGCATCTGGGGGTCTCAGTACTGCAAAAATAAATGCAAAATTTTTACCTACTCTGTTGATGGTTATCTCACGTTCTAAATTGAGTGACTGACTATACTCCTGAATCACAGGAATGATGAAGTCCTCACCTTCAGCCTGTTTGACCTTTTATATGCAATGTGCTCCAGTTGATGTTCCATGATGAAATCATGGACAAATTTTATCTGGGAATAAGATGGCTGATGGCACCCATATTAAACATTTTCTGATTCCCACGCTCAGAAATTATTCCAAAGAAAATTTTCATTATTTCAGAAGAGCCTTGAAAATCAGATTGAGTTGAAAATATTTTCTTTTCTTCCACAATACATCAATAATGCTCTTTTGGATTCAGCCTGCATTTCAAAACCCAGTGTATTGAATTAGATTATAAGTGGGGCCCAGCAGTGAGAAACTATCTACGCATCGAAGTCCAAAATTAATGCATTGAAACAAAAAGGCTTCAAAGATTTGTTTCCCTGTGCTGTATCTGGATTAACCGTGTTCGCAGCCTGTGCTGGGATGCTGGGACATTTCTTCCACACAATAAATTTATTAAAATTAGCATTGATATCTGTTATTGCAATATAAAACTCTAGAGAGAATGGCTGTTGAAATTGTCTGATGAAAAATATAATTTTGGTTCTTCTCCTAATAGCGCTATTCAGGCATATTTTCACCTTCTGAAATATGTTACTTCCAGTTTTCAACCTGAGACACCTTTCTTAAAGCCCAACCTTCTTGTTTAAAAAAAAAGGGAATGCCACATTATAGCTGCTTCATGGTTTTCTCAACATATATTTTTTTCTTTGTTTCAGGCAGTCTTTACAGATAATGAAATTAAAGAAACGGGCATATATAGGGTTTCTTTTGAACCACCTGGTGAAGTCAAACCTGCTACAAGAATATAAAATCGGTGCCAGACATCAACTGAATTAGGATTGCCTGGTTTATCTTCATGGTGAAATGAATGACGTCGTTCCTGATATTGGTATGCTGAAGTTTCAATCAAAAATCTGCAATGTTGAAAATAACAAAATGAAAACACGCCTCAACATCAAATGGTATGATCCTGGTATGACAAAGAAGCAATACAAAATTTGAATGTGAGCACTGTACAGTGTGTTCCCTCTGCTGCATGATCATATTATCACCTGTTATAAATTGATTTCCTTTTCCTGAATTGCAGGATTGAAGACGTACCCTCATTGAGCCTGTTTCACTGTGTATATAAATATGCTGAAGCTGATACGTCCTTTGTGTTGGGTTGCCAATAGAGGGCACCAGGCAACCAAATAATCAATAGCCCAATGCCCAAACCAAATAAAATGTGTGCAGCAGTGTGATGTAAGAGATGTGATCAAGGATCACAAAATAGTATGAATAAAAATGCAGGCAATCAGTCTTTTGAAGGCCAAGAACACATATTCAAGGGTTTCCTTGAATATTTGTTCTTAGTTTTTTAATGATTTATATTATGATCTTCAGCAGAGTTGAATACAAAGATTAAGCAGAAAAAATGTACAAAGATTTGAATAACTGGATCACAGGAGAAACACAGATTTTGCACACAAATCAAAATGAATAAAAAGATAATAATTCAAGACAGTCCAGGACAGACTGACTCTTATAATCAAATTATTTTTAGCTTTGATTGAGGACCTCTCTTGATTTCTCCTCAACAGGAGATTAATCCTACCATGTGACCAGTTTGCCAAGTTCCAGGCAAACCTGAGGCAAGGAGGCAGGTTGGGAACCATGCCAAAGTTTGAGCCAAAAATGAAGCTTTTTGAACATTCTAGATTTGACTCTTGTGGAAGTAGGATCTTTGGAATTTGACTGTTGTTAATTGATGTGCTTGTGTGTTTTGTGTCCTGAAATTATTCTATTGAGATTGTTTACCTGCACTGCATTTGTCCTACCCCAAGTGGGGAAATTGGTGCACACTGGGGATTTGTTCATAATTCTACACTGTGACCCTGCTGTGCACCTGAAGTGTACCAAAGTTCTTCTGTTGCACATGCATATCCCCAATTATCCCCAATGTGCACCAATTGTGTGTTCACACCAGGATTACTCAGGGTCACATTTGTAAACAAATAAGTTACACCAAGGTTACAATTGGCGCATTTGTTTGATGCTCCTGTTATTTCACATTTGTGCACCAAGTGTAACCCTGGAATGGTAGAAAAATTTCCTCTACAGGAGTGCACAATATCCCATATGCTCCAGTTGTGACCCTGGTGTGCACCTACTGTGGGGTCACCGCAAAAATAGCTCCCCACTTGGGCTGTTCTGAATTTGTTTGCTGAGGAATAAACCCTTGGACAGCAGCAGCCTCCTTTCCATCCCAGGGCAAAGTCAGAATTTTTCTGCTTGGGTCTGCATCACATTTTTGCACAAGGTTATGCAACCCCTGCCAGGTGGGGAAGGGCAAAGTTGGATTTTATCTGGGGATAAAGAAATGCCGGGGAAGTCCAAAGTTAGACTTTTTCTGTATTGACCATTTAACCGGGGCTCTTGGCTTTCAAGCTTAAATTTAATCTTTTAATTGGTGGACAACAGAGGGCCAGGGGGCAAAAGGGAGCCTTAAAGATTTCATTTTTTCATTTCCAAGTGAAATTTTTCTGTGAAAAAAAAAGCCTGGATTTTTCCAAACTTTGCCCTGCACACACTGTTTTTTAATGCCACTCTTGCAGTCTTGAGTGCACCCAATCCATCCTAATTTATTTGAGAAATTATCTTTCAATACATGGTTTCCTTGATCCTGCCTTGGTTTTAAACTGCACTTGAATGAATGAATGAACAGAAAACTTTATTTGCCACTTTTCAGCATTCACAAGGCACAACCAAGACTCCCGCATCCAAACCACCTCCCCACCCAACCCCTCCCCACCCAACGCACTTGAAGGCAAGAAAGCCAACAATCTTTGCACTGATTTCAAAAATATGTAGGCTCATTTACTCAATTTTATTCAAGTACTGTTATATGGGTTGCAAAGTGTTATCCTAGGACCTAGATATATGAAAATGAATCTCGTTTCTGTATTATTTCCTGCTGTTTTGGTGCAGATATAATTCATCTGCTTAGATAAATTTGTCTTGGTGGGCAAGTTCTTTTGCCTGGCTGATTGCCAACTCAAAAAAAAAAGAGATTCATCCCGGATTCATAATTTCCTCCATTTTATTACACTGCAATTTTCATTGTCATGACTATAAACACTTTCATTTCATCCCGCAATATAAAAACTTAAATTTCCTGCTACCTGCTTGGATTCTGCAATCCAAAATTTTATCCAACAGGTGATCCTCTCAGCCCTTTTCAGAAAGTCATGGATATGTTTAATGGTTCAGCCATGGAATTCTCAAAGTGAGACTTGGGCATACTGATTCATCAATACAGAAAGAGGAATGGTCAAATGCAAAGAAAATAATTAGAATTTGTGAAACATCCTGTTAAACTGCATCCTAATTTTAAACCACATTTTGCAAGTCTTCAAAGTTGAATATCCTTGATTCTGAATTTTGGTCAAACAAGTTGCCATTTCTGGATTTTGTTTGAGCCCCATTTATTAAAAAATATATACTGTACGGTACTGTATTTGTGTGTGAAGTGGGCTTTTTTTTACTGAGTCTGTTGCAGTCCTATGATATGTGGCCAATATTTTGGCCAAATTGAAAATTTACATGATTTTTAAAATGGATTCATGTTTATCCTCCTTGCAGGTGAAAATATAACTCCAGACTGTCTTCCAACACAATTTCGGTCCATACTGTTGAAAAAGTTATTCTCACAATCACAAAAAAGGTTGATTACTACAGTCAACCCCCATCTAACAGACTTGATTTGTGCAAGGGACAAGTCTGTTAGACAAAAAGTCCTTTACATGAATTCAATTAAATAAAAAATTAAAAATTTCAATTTTTGACACTAATTTTAAACCAAAAGAAGTCTGTTTGGTGGATTTTGTCTGTTGGGCGGGAGGAAAAACTGCTTGCAGAGCTGGTCTGTTTGGCAAAAATCCCTTACACAGGAGGTCTGTTAGGCGGGGGGCCACTGTATTTTTGAAATCAGATGGTTTACACACAAGGAAAAAATCCAGGATGACAACTGGTGTGTTCCGGAATTATTCAAAAGCAATGCAATTTGGTTTGTCAGAATGGTTTATTGTATTCACTCAAGTATCACACGCCTATTTTTTATTATGTGCAATAAAGTAGGATGTGTGTCAAAGGCAGGATTGAACATTTTCCAAATATTGTAAAGACATGTAGATGAATATTTAATGCAGGTCACATGGGGAAATTTTGAATCATCACTAACTATTTCAGCGGGAAATTCACCATGAAAAATTATATGAGACAGGATGAGCGTCTTTGCTGGTGTTTGGATTGAAAAAAATTTCGTTCAGACGAATATTGCAATATGCTTCTCTGCAAAGAATTACTTTTTAGCTTTTCATTTTGTTCTATTCTCTATAGAGGATTTTTCAATGCCAACGGAAAGTTTTGTTGAGTCAATAAATTCTGCTTGTTTTAAGAACATGCTGGGGTCTTGAATGACAACCAGGGAGAAAGAGTTTGACAAATAGATGCAAATGAGAAAACAAATTTGGTTTGGGTTTACTCTTGATGTCGATTGTTCAAGTTGTTTGAATGATCTTTCCTCAGATGCCTGCATCCATTCATTCGCTAAGAAGCGAAGTTTCCCTGCTTTAAAATAAATTCTGAAAGAGGTGAGATTTTAGTTCGGTATTGTGTTCGAATGCTTCACTTGTGGGGTCGTTTCAGACTTTTAAAGGCTCCCATGACGTCATCAAAAAGTACCTCGGCGAAGTGCTTTTTGAATCGCCGTTGTCTTTCTTGCCGCCAGCCCGGCTGAAATTTGAAAAAACAAATTTCATGTCAGCCATGGTTCATTCTCTTGATTTTGACTAAGCCAAACGAAACTAGCTCACACAGAAAATTATAGCTCAAAATTTGTAAAGTCATTGTTTTCAGAATTGAAGGCATTAACGCATCCCTGATTTATTCCGAATATTGTAGTGTTGCTTTCTAGACAGCTAGGGTTTTAATAATTATATCAGTGTCATTAAGATAGTATATCACTGCTGGAATGACTCCCTGATATTGAATAATGCATTGTACAGTTCAAGCAAGAGTCAGTATAGACTGTATAGTGATTACTGTATATTGAAATACTTTCCCCACTGGCCAAAGTGATGGAGAAAAATCAGAAAATTTAGCCAAGTAGAAATGGTAGCAATTTACAAGGAACTCAACTACTGAATAACTGTGAGGAAATTCTTTATTTTGTGCTAACTTTGCATCAGCGGGCTTGAGCACCAAATTTTTGTATACATGTAAATACTCCCTGCTTTTCATTTTAATCTTTGGAACCAAACCATTTCTGATTTGTCAATTTGGTTGCGATATTACAGCGTTCCTTTTCAATGAGGGTTCAGTAAAAATTGATCAAATTTCTGGAAAAACTGGGGAATTTTATACATTGAATTACAGTGAGACCCCCACACCTCATTATGCAGACAATTCAACATATGGACACTTTTCCCATAAAAAATAATGAAAAAGGCCCAACATGAGGACACTGACTTGACATAGGGGCATTTTGTGATAAAATTGCAAATACATTTCAGTCCAAATTACACAAAACAGATATTTACAACCCTAAAATTGATGTAAGAAAAGTTCTTGGGCATTTCTCTCACCAATTTACCATCCATTTAGCTAATTTCTCACAGTTATTCAGTAGTTGAGTTCCTTGTAAATTGCTACCATTTAGCTAATTAAAAAAAATTAAATGCTGGAAATATTACAGCATTACTTTTTAATGAGGGTTCAGAAAAAACCCTAGCAAATTTTAAAGAAAAAAACTGGGAAGTTTACAAGTAGAATAACATAACATAACATAAACACCCTAATAACATAATAATAAGCTAATAACATTGCTTTAATTAAATAAACACCCTTGATTTTGTGGAATTGCTGTGTGCCTCTACATATATTCCTGTGCATGCTTTGTTCCTTTGCTCAAGTATACCCTCAGATAAACAAATGATGAAATTCAAATTCTCCAGTAAATACTGTACAGTGAGACCCCCACCTACATGTGGACGCCTCGACATGGGGACAATGCAACATGGGGATATTTATTTTTTAACAAAAAAATCATAAGAAAGACCTGACATGAGGTCACTGACTCAACCTGGGGACATTGCAGGATAAAATTCCAAATCAAATTTTAGGAAAATCAATTGTTATAAGGCTTAATTGCAAAAAACAGATGTTTCCAACCTAAGATCTATGCAAGAAAAATTCTTTGGTACTTTTCTCATCCATCCAGCTAATTTAAAAAATGCCCTATAGCACAGAGGGACTACCTTCTATAGCTCTCTTTGTGACATGGATGTTATTTTCCCAGATGCCAACTTTTCAATTTACTGTACAGAGGTACACTATTCAATGTTCCAAATGTTCTTAATGGTTTGAAAAGATATTCATTGAATCAAATTCAAGTGGCAAACATTTTTTTAAATGAAATTCTGAAGAATATTTCTTCCATAAAACACCAATTTTCAGGATTGCAAAAAAGCTCGTCTGGTAGACAAATTTACAACACCAATAATACACCGGGAAAGAAGCCTTCCATTTTACCATTATGAAGAAACAGGTGTTGATATTGCTTCTCCTAGTGTCTTATGTTCTTAATGGTTTGAAAAGATATTCATTGAATCAAATTCAAGTGGCAAACATTTTTTTAAATGAAATTCTGAAGAATATTTCTTCCATAAAACACCAATTAAAAATTATACGATGTAAGTCTATGGGAAAACAAGATTTGACTTGGGGACAATCCAACATAGGGACACTCTTGATGCACCAATCATGTCTGCAACTGGTGGTCGCACTGTATATGCAAACCATTCAAACAAAAGGGGGCAGACTAATGTTTTTTTTTCAATTCTACGTATCTCTCAAAAAATTGTAGCTGCTGTATGTCTAATATGGAGACAAATGTTCAGACACAATATTCTTACCCTGTCATGAAGGAAAACCCTTGCTTGGTCATGAATGCGTTGCATGGTTGTGTTGGTTGTGTTGGTGCCATTTCCACCTGCTCCGGGTCCTCTCGTGACGAGAATAAAATAGTACATGAAATTGGGTTTCTTCTGTTTCATCGGTTCGGGAGAAACCATAAACAATACCCCAGACACTAGGAGAAGCAATATCAACACCTGTTTCTTCATAATGGTAAAATGGAAGGCTTCTTTCCCGGTGTATTATTGGTGTTGTAAATTTGTCTACCAGACGAGCTTTTTTGCAATCCTGAAAATTACGACAAGAACACGAGCATGAATAAAACGAAAGGACTCTCGGGGATGTCGGCAAAAAGAAACTTGGATGAAATTGATTGAGTCCAGCAGCGGATTTTTTTTTTTGCCACAACAACAAAAAAATAAGTACAAAATTCTCATGTGAGTATGTAATTTAACCTGCTGGTCTTCTCACGTTATAAACTGTGTGACTGACTCTTTCTGAATCGAAGGATTGAATAAGTCCTTCAGCCTGGTTGAACCTTTTATACGATTGGCTGGACTTGAAGTTCCATGATGAAATCATGGAACAAATTTTACCTGGTAATTAGTTGCCTGATGGCACCGAAATTGCAAATTTTCTGATTCCCACGCCAAGAAATTATTCCAGGGATAATTGCGTTATTTCAGAAGCCTCGAAAATCAGATCAAGTTGTCTTTCTGGTCTTCAACGAATTATCAATGCTCTTCTGGATTTGGCCTTAATTTAAAAAACCAGTGTAATTAAATTATGCGTATGGTGCCCAGCAAGAGAAAGTATCTACGCCTCAAATAAGTCATGAAATAGTCCATTGAAACCATACTGCTTCAAATATTTGGTTACCTTGTCATATGACAACTGGCTGAATCGAGGTTTATCCGCAATTTAATGTACAATATAAAATTTCTTGAATCTGGAGGCCAGTGAGCCTTGCAAAAATCCCGTGAGACTCACTGAGCCTCACTCAAGGACAAGAAGTGGTCATCACTTCTTCCATTTTGCCTGAATTGGCCAATCCTGAGCCGGGAAGAATTCTCCTGATTTCTTCCTGACCCAGTCCAAGCACCTGGCTATAAAAGCCTTCATTCCTCTTTGAGAGGACAAGTCAGAACCTAGTGTTAAAGGGCCTTTTAACTTTAAATTACCTGATTCAATATTCTGAGCTAACCATTGACTCTGCCATTAACCCTTCTGCGGCAAAGAATTCTTTCCCATCCTGCGGCTAAGTCGGACTTTTCCTGTATGCTACTGCGTTTCCATTTTTCTGGAGGTCACAAAACCCCAGCCAAGTTGTGTGAGGCAAAGTCGGACAAAATCTGGGTGAATGCAGACTGTTGAATTTTCCAAAGTTGGACTTCTTCTGGATTGACCTCCCAACCAGTAGCATTGCCTTGAGTCTACTATAAAACCCTTTAAAAATGTTGTGTGCTTTCAAATCCCTTGGAATTGCTTTGATGATATCATGAATGAACAAGATTTAAAAAATGTGTTCCATCTCAGCTTATTTCCTTCAGCTAGCTTTCTCTAAATCTTCTTCAGTGTTGCTTTTCATTGTGGCTTTAATCTCTTGCTTCACAAATTCCTTTTCAAGGAACAGTGCCAGTGTCTAAATGAAAGTAGCAAAATTTTCCTACACCACAGATGGAAGAAGATTACTAAGGTCATCAAGGACTTCTTCCAGAAGTGCCAAGCCACTTTTGGGGCAGAAAAAAAAGCCTCTGCCCTGAGGATTCCTTTTTTTATTTTTCAGCAAAAATTGTCTGTGCAGAGCAAAAAAAAAACGCCAGGATTTTCTCTGACTTTGCTGTCCACTCACTGGCTGGCATTTTTTAAAATTTGACTCTAGGTGACACAAAATTTTGTGAAAAAAGTCCAACTTTGCCACCCAAGGGTTAAAACAAGTGAATTAACAGCCAATTGATGAACTGGGCAATGAGAATGAACTCTTCAAAACTTGCATTCTGATGGCTGCACAATTCAATTCCTTAGTCTGGGATCCAATGGACCCATGACCACATCCACAGTCAAGAGAAACAACAATTCTATATTTTGATTTTAAAAAAAAGAACAATCCAAAAATTGTCACAAAGTAATGTTAAAAAAACTTATTCAGGAAGCCCCCAAGAATTGATTTGACTTTGGGAAATAATATTTAACCCTTGGGCGGCAAAGTCGGACTATTTTTGCAAAATTTTGTTGCACCTCAGGGCAGAAAAAAAAAAACACAACAGGGATTTGAGGACAAAGCTGGGAAAAAATCCAATGTTTTTTTCTTTTTGCACATAAATATTTCGTGGGAAAAAGAAAAAAATGCTATGCTAAGCAAAGGGCTTTTCTTGGATTAATCCCAACTTTGCCTCAGCCCACCTGGAAGGTCTTTTCTGACCTTCAGAAAAATTAAAACGCCCCAGCATATGAAAATAATCCAATTTTGGCCGGCAATGGGAAAGAACCCTTCGCCGTCCAAGGGTTAACAAATTTCCAATGCAATATTTTATTCAAATGCTCTTAGTGTATTTGTGTGTCAGTCTCAGAGATATCAAAGTTCCAAGCATGTCCTCATTGAGTATCTCTGTCAAATTCTTGTTAAATCATTATTGGCATCTTATTGTATCATGTTATCATGTGCATGTGAAAATTTGAGAAAAGGTCTCATATTAAATTTTCTGCAATCTCTTTGATTTTAGGGAAACTAGTTTGTTCAGAACATTTGTGAAGATCCAATTAGCAAATTTACAATTCCCCATTCCTTGGATTTCAAGGTGGGGGTGCATTTTGCCTCCCACTATCAAGGTCTTGTTTTATACTTAGCCAAGGTTCAATCCAACGTCTGCAATCCTGAAATTTGAAACAACAAAAACACTTGCCATACATATATCAACAGACTATTATACTGAGCATTGCAAAAAGAAAGCAAAATGGAGATAAATTTGTCTGGATGGGCAAGTTCTTTCGCATGTATGATTGCCAACTCAAAAAAGTCAGAGAGTAAAAAATGAGATTTCCAGATTCATAATTTCCTCCGTTTTTATTGCACTGCAATTTTCACTGTGACTAGACACTTCCATTTCATCCCGCAATATAAAACCTAGATTCCCTGCTTCCTCTTGGATTCAGCAGTCCAAAATTGTATCTGAGAGTTGATACTCTCAGCCCTTTTCAGCAGAGAGTCCCTGCTATTTTTAATGGTTCAGCCATGGAATTTTTCAATTGAGATTTCAGCATACTGATTCATCAATAAAGGGTCAGGAAAGGTCTAATGCAAAGAAAGTAGCTAGTATTTGTGAAACATTGCCTGGCTGCATCCTAATTTGAAAACACATTTTGCAAGTCTTCAAACTTGGTGACTTTTGATATAGATTATTCAAAAAAGTTATCCCTTAAGAACAATTGATGATCAAATATTAGTCACACAGAAAAATCAAAAGGAATTCAATTCTGTATAGACTTGGGATCAAGATTATGTTGAACCATGACCACAATAGTTAACTTGTAATAATGTATTACAATAATTCATGGAGAAATAGGAACATAATTACAACTTTAGATGAAATTATTATGCTAAAAATAATTCCTTGAACAGTGGGTTGCAGACCTCTAATCTAAACCAGTGTTCCTTAACCTTCTGGGCCCACAGACTGGCAAATTTCTGTTTCATTTTTTTTTGCTCAACAGAAAATTCCTGAAACATGTTCTGCAGACCAGCAGCAAGGTTTTATAACATTTTTGCAGTCACAAAAAAAGTTTTGTTTGATAGACATTATGGCAGGGATTTAATAATTTTCTGCTTTTTTTTGCCAAAGTCAAGTCAGGAATGATTGAAGCAGATACTGTATAATGGAATGTCTTCAAAAGTTATAAAGGTGGGCTTGAAGAAAGGTTTTTCACATCTGAAAAATTAAAGAAATTTATTTCAGCATATGTGAAAATTTGTCCAACTTGACAAAAGTAGAAAAGTCAACTTTAATTTCTCATCAGACAATTTAAACTGTCATTGTCTTTCCAAAAATTTCATTTATACTTTTGGTACATTTTTTATGCTGAATAAAATTCCCTGTGGACGACCAGCAAAATACTTCTGCAGACTACTGGTTGGGGAACTTTGGGTCTAAAATAAAGAGTTACAATAACTGCTTCTGTAATCGGATTCAAACAGGGACAAATGCAGTTCAAGACTCCAGCACATGGTTCAAATAAGCTATGTAGCAAATGGCGAGTCGGAGGATCTCAATCTTGGACAGCTTTTTGTCCGGCGGCAACGTTGGTAACAATTTCCGGAGTTGGGCAAAGGCGCCGTTGAACGCCTCCACCCGAACCCGTTCCCGGGACGCGTGCGCCGCCCTGTACTTTTGAGTGGCTCGGCGGCGCCGGCGACGCTCTTCCCGCGTCAAATGACCGCCACTGCTGGCCTGATGATGATGATGATGATTGTTGTTGTTGTGGTAAGGAGGCGATGATGTTGTCGTGCTAACAAAGTGATGATCCGAATTGCGGGCCAACGAAGTCGGAGACGAGGTTTCGGACCTGTTATGGGCATAATAATTATTATTATTTTTTAAATAACTTAGTGGGTATTTATGGGGGTTGCAAATTAATCGGGTTTTCCTGACACACACACAGAAACATGTTCTGTACTAGATGAAATAATGGCCCTTCCCAATTGACAAAATTTCAAGTAAAAAGGGACGCATGAAAAATGTGTCCCCAATTTTCTCGGGGCAAAATATAAACTTTCAAAAAATTACCATTTAAATATTTCGGCAATAATTTCTAATGATTTCAAAAGAAGGCACGCATCTGTGACATCTTGAATCTATTTAGGTCTAAATTAAATTTTATATGCGCAGTTTATTTTGAAAATAATTATACAGTATTTTCAAAAGATGGGTGGGCATCTTACTCAGGAATACAATTTTTCTCCAAGAAAGAAAAAACAATTTTATACTGCACTGTATATATATAACCTTTCATCGAGAAGCAATTAATCCTCAAATAAATAAGAAAAACAAAACAAAAACATAAATGAATCCGTAAAAAATCTCATTTTGTATCTTTTTTGTGTTGAGGATTTATAAGACAGAAAAAATGTACTCTGTTTTATTCGCTGGATTTTCTGCCATTCTTTTCAACCACTTTAATTATAACTTTCGAAAAAAATTTGACAATATTTCAAGCGCATTATACAAGGAAGTGTTTTGAGATTTTCGTTGAAAAAGACAAAAATTATAGATTTCACAGCAAATATATGAACTGTATATCCAAAGCTACAAATTAAAGAGATTTGCGAGAAATTTAATTATTCGGTCTCGGAGATGAAACTATACATTCAGTTTTTCGCACGCCATTACCCCTCGATTCATCATGCAAATTAAATCATAAAGTACGATGTTTGCAATGATTTTTATCAGTTTGAATTCGACAGATTTTGTGACTGTCTTCAAACGTCGCATGCAGTAAAAAGAATAACTAAATCAAAGAAAAATTCGACGCATTCTTATCTCGCATTTATTTTACACTGGCAATATTTACCGGTCTTTCTATTCTGTACCGGAATTCTTTTTTTTCTTTTTTTGCATAAACACGTTTTTCTGTTGTGTGCGTGTTTGGGATGCGCCCACTTATCTTGTAGGACCAATGAATGGCGACTCGACATTTAAACAGCATAAATCAATTGAGTATTCCACGACCAAATTGACTTTTAATTTCCAAAATTTCCAAATGCATTCGACTTGACTTCATTTACGTGAATCTGATGATGATGTGTATTGTATTCACCTTCGTTTGGTTGAGCCCAAAGATCGACAAGCCACGGAACCGAAGGAGGATTCGGATGCAGCCGGGGAAGACGCTTCCGGGAAATCGAAATATTCCTCATCCGCTTCCTGTTGATTGAAATGCGCCCAACACGCCGCATAACCCACGTCATCGTCGTCCATAATATCTCCTGCCAACACTTTTCCCTATCTATATTCTTTGTTTGTATCAAATTTTTGCTTCGATTCCACTGCTGCTATAATGGGCTGTTCCACTTCGATCCACGTATAATCGAGAAAAAATCACGGAAGTCAGAGGGAAAAATCACTTTCCGCGTTTTCCGTCACGCGCGACCCCCCATCGCTTCCGGAAGTGTGCATTACTTTTTTGCGGGGGTCCTGGATACCATGTTGATACTATGGGTGTGGGTGTGTGTGTTTGTTTTGTTTTTAGTTGTTGCATGCACTGACCTGCCCCTTTGTGTAGCACAGCAGCAGACACAAGTCCGAGTGGTAAGTGGGCGTAACTATACTGGGTGCTGGAGGGCTTTGTGAGGGGGATGTCCTCTATGAGGTTCTCTTTGGGAGTGGCTTCCATGCTGGTGGGGGATTGGGTTCGGCTATGGGAGGGATTTTCGCGGTATAACCCTGTAATCCAACCAGGATGACCCGGCGTCATCCTCAAGCAACAGGACCACACATCAACAGGATTGTGGAATGGGATGCACACATTTGCTGGAATGCAGTATGGCTGGCTTTCTGGGGTTGTGAAGATTGTGTGGAAAAGAGGGGGTTTTTATTTCCATTTCAGAGAAAATGTTAAGGTTTTTCTGCATGGTTTTGGTTTGAGGTCACATGGTCACTGAAATATCTATAAGGAAGGTTTAACCCTTGGGCGGCAAAGTCGGACTATTTTTGCAAAATTTTGTCGCACCTCAGGGCAGAAAATAAAAAAAGGACAACAGGGATTTGAGGACAAAGTCGGGGAGAAATCCAATGTTTTTTTTTCTTTTTGCAAAGAAAAATTTTGTGGGAAAATGAAAAGAATGCTATGCTAAGCAATGGGCTTTTCTTGGATTAATCCTGACTTTGCCTCAGCCCACCTGGAAGGTCTTTTCTGACCTTCAAAAAAATTAAAACGCCCCAGCATATGAAAATAATCTGATTTTGGCCGGCAATGGGAAAGAACCCTTTGCCGTCCAAGGGTTAAAATGGGGGTAAGTTGGAAGTACAGCTGGTACCTCATAATTTGACATTAATCTGTTGCTGGACTATGTTCAAATTGCAAAGCAGTTGAATTGCAATACAATGTCAAATGACATGTTCTCTACATGGCATTTGACAGTTCACGTCACTCCATGTGTCAAATTGCACAGCGCAGAGGTCAAATTGTTTGTCAACCTCCCAGAAAATTTGACCATGAAATTGCAGGATGGTTAAATTGCAGGAAGTCAAATTACAAGGTACCACCTGTACAATTGAACTTCTCTAATTTGTACTTGAATGAGGTACCAGACAAAAAATTTAGTTTGGGAAACAAGAATTCTTGTTGTGGAAAGGAAGAAAATTTATAGGAAATTGTATGAGGTGGTAATTTGGGCTGTAAATTGCTTCGTAAATTAGTTGACAGGATGTTGAACTTGGAGGCATGGGTTCATTTGCTCAAATAGTCTTTCCCTTCCTTTCAAAAGAAATTGTTAAATTTGTATTGCTTTTCAGTCAAAAAATGATATCAAAAAGTCCTCCAGAAATTTGTTTCATGGAGGTTTGAGGAGGAAAGCCTTTAACCCTCAGATGGCAGAGGGTTCTTTCCCATAGCAGGACAAAATTGGATTATTTTCGTATGCTCCCTCATTTTAGGTTTTTAGAAGGCCAGGAAAACCCTTCCAGGTGGGCTGAGGCAAAGTTGGGATTAATCTGAGAAAAGCCAGTAGCATCCCTGAGCATTTTTTTCATTTTTAGGAAAAATTTTTCTGCCGCCAGGGAAAAAAATGTTGGGATTTTTACTGACTTTGCCCTTCACCACCTGCTTTCATTTTTTTTCTTGACCTCTCTGAGGTGCAACAAAATTTTGCAAAAATAGTCTGACTTTGCCGCCCAAGGGTTAAGTTGAGGAGTTTCACTACACTGTTTCTAAGAGGATTCTTACAGGAGCCTTTAAAATTTTCATATACAGTATTTAGGAACTGTATTGTCTCTAATGAAGGCCCTGGAATTTCTTCCAAATATTGACCTTTTGTCTCAGTGTTTTATAGAGACCATGCTTCTAATAGAGACTGGTGCTTATTTACAACAATTGACAATTTTCAAGAAGAGGAAAATATAAAAGAAAATGAGAAAATCCTAGCTGAAAAGTTTGAAAACCCATCTGATCAAAATTTGTCTTGGAAAATGATCCAGGAATGCTCTAAGAATTGATGCTGGCAGAAAATGTCTTCCTTTAGCTTTTAATGCATGAGTAGAAAAGATAAATTGGGTTGAGAGAATTTTCATCATTATTTCCATTCCCCCTTCATTCTTTGACCTGGCTATTGTAGACCAGGCATTTAGCAGAAAAAACATTTTCTGGCTTAAAATCCCGAATTTCAAACATGTTCTGACTTCAGATTAAAAAAAAAAAAGCAGGACATGATTGCATGAGGTGTGGCCCGCAAAAAAAGCAGATAAATGATGGCAATTGCATTCGCATAAAAAATTTTCATAAAAGTCTGTCGCGTTTTGAAAACATTTGCGAATCCCCTGTCCCGAAAAAAAAGCATAAACTTTTATTTTTTATTCCAGTACAGTATATGTATAAAAAGAAGATCTGGCCTCAAAATATTTCACCAGCTGCACATTCTCACTCCCTCGTCTTCCCCCTTTTACAAATTTTAGTGACAAATGACTTCAGCAGACACCCGGGAGTCACAACACAGCACCCGGGTAGCATAAAATTAGCATCATAATATTCCACGTGGATCAAAGTCTTCTTTTCAATACAGTATTTTATCGTTCAAAAAAAGGAAGAAAAAAAAACGTCTGCGCTGACGAGTCACAAAAGCTGCTGGTGCACAAATGCCATCAATTTCGATGCAATTTTTTTCTTTTAACGCAAAGTCAGGGATTAACTGGGGTAAAGCGCCTCGATAAAAACATAATTAATATCGGGAATCCCGAGGGCATTTTTCAGTCGAAATATGATTTCTTTTCTGCAAGATAAAAAAAAATGCAACCACGAGGTGTTTTTTATTTTTATTTTATCAGAGCAACGATGGAGTTCCGTCGTAACAAAAAGTGTTGTGACAAAATTTATCAGGTAAGTGCATTTTTCTCGAAGTCCTGAGATTCACTTCACGAAAAAAAATCGATATAATGAAGTGAGGAACAGGAATAAATATTTTCAGTTCAACATAGTTTGTGTAGATAATTTTTATCATTCGAAATTTCCTTCAGAGGGAATGCAAGCAGTGCTATATGATTTTTTTCAATTTTCAGCCTTCTTGGACTAAAATCCAGGAAGAATAGATATTTGAACTTCATTTAGTTTTTCCAGTAAAGTGGCACCAGTCGATTCAAAGGTAGCCCATCTATTTTTTTTTAACCTGGGGATGTGAGAAATATTTTGCAACTGGCTGAAGTTTAGAATAATTGCATGTAGTCCAGTCGATGTAGGAATATTTTTTCATTTTCACAGGAAATATAGTTTTTTAATAACTGTATGTTTAGCAGCTCAAGGTGTATTCGTTTCAAAAGACAAAATCTGATTGAAAATTCAACAGAACAATTACGCTTTAAATAATATACTGTATATATTTTCAGGAACTGATATCGATTGTCAAAAGAATAGATAACCCGCTAAATATCAGCAAATTTTTTTTATCGGAACCCACAATTAATTACCGTATTTACTTGAGTACCACGTGCACGTTTTTTCCCAAATTTCAGAAGAAAAAAAGGGGTGCGCATCATAAGTGGGTACAAAATTTTCAAGAAGTTTTAGGAAGTTATGTTAGCATTATACTTAATTATAATGGAGAAATTTGGAACAAATATAACAAGAAAACATTTTTGCACTGAAAAAGTTGAAAATTGATCAGATTGTTATGTTAGCATTATACTTAATTATAATGGAGAAATTTGGAACAAATATAACAAGAAAACATTTTTCTATTGAAAAAGTTGAAAATTGATCAGATTTTTGCTCAATTCATGCCTGAAGTCGAATTTTTTTTTTTATTTTTGAAATTTTATGGTTTTAGGTTCACTAAAAATTGTGGTGCGCGTCTTACTCAGGGATGAGATTTTTGCAAAATTTTCAACTGAAAAACCCCTGTGCGCCCTTGATTTGAGGGCACATGGTACTTGAGTAAATACGGTATTATTGATCCAGGAAGAAAGAATAAACTGAGCATGATGAGCACGAATGCACTTCAAATCCAGCATATTTGCAGTTGCATATTCTCAACAATGCGCAATACGTCAAACAAAGTAAAACAGTGATGAAGCAAAAATCAGTGCTCTCATATTATTTCCATTTATTCATTTTATTTTTCACATCCACGTTCGTACGAATTTTTTTATTTTTTTTTATGTATACAGGGGTTCACTTTTTTTTTCAATTCCCATGGGCCCGATTCGTCGGCCCCCTTTCCGAAACCCGTGGCAGAGGGGATATAATACACTGCACGCGTTTCATCGCGGGGTGAGCATATTTTGATTATAAATTCCTACCCGCTTTTGTGCTGGGTGTTTGGACACAATGTTCTTTTTTCAAGAGCGACATCAGGGGGATGCCGAAATCAGTGATTGATTTTGAGCTGTGCCTATATATATATATAACACAGTGTGTGAAGAAGATTGAGGAGGATTGGAAAATCTGTTTTCAGATGCCAGTATATACGAGATTATTCAAAAAAGTTAATTGCTGGACTCACAAATAATTTTAAATACTGCACAGTGCTGATTCAACTTATGATAACGCGATATGTTCAGACATTGAGATTTTTATAGAGAAACATATTATTTACAGTTATTTGGAAAAGACACATTTAGGTTTTAATTGCATTACAGCAATCATTCATATTCTCTTGAAAATAAAAGTGGAACCCGAAATGCTGTTGATTATTAGTGCAGAAAAAATAATAATGCTAGAATTGAATAAAGACAAATCCTGACTATTTGAAATTAATGCTCTGTGAACACATTATCAAGTATTTTTTTATTTCTGATGGAAGGTATTCAATTTTTCTTGCCCCAGGAACCATTTTTGAATGTTCACTTACAGTACTTCCACAAATAATAATCGGACATCAGTTTTGCGGTGTTGCCTGAAAAATGTAAGACAGTGTACAGTCAACCCCTGTCTAACAGACTTGATTTGTGCAAGGGACGAGTCTGTTAGACAAAAAGTCCTTTACACAAATTCAATTACATAAAAAATTAAAAACTTCAATTTTCAACACTAATTTTAAACCAAAATAAGTCTGTTTGGTGGATTTTGTCTGTTGGGTGGGAGAAAAAACTGCTTGCAAAGCTGGTCTGTTTGGCAAAAATCCCGTACACAGGAGGTCTGTTAGGCGGGGGGCCACTGTATTCACAATATTCAAATAAAATTGCAGGAAACATAGGAGAAACAATAATAATACTTTTTGGTTATTTGTTTTGGAAATTAGATTTTGAAGAAAAGGGCAATTATTTGCAATCAAAACATTTTGCTAGGCCCAATGTTTGTACGTGAGTCAATTTTTCAGTCCCGAAAAGTTTCAAAATATAGATGTACGGAATGTATAAAATTTCTATAAATTCTAAAAATAAAATGTATAATATTTCTCAATACAGTACAGCATTACAATTTCTAAATGTTGTGTAAATAAAATTTACATTATCAGATTAATAAAAAAAATAAAAAATGCAATATACTGCATATTTCTAAATACTGAACATTACATATTTCTGAGACTCTGATGTAATTTCGTAGCTATATTCTGGAGGAACGTTGAAAAAATGCAATAAACACGATTTTATTGCAACAAATTACTTATGAAAAAGCTTTTCTAATGTAATCTCTTATTGTTGCATACATACAATGAATTTTACAGGGATAAAACCCCTGCACGCATTGAGATACCTTATCCTGAAATATAAGTGTCAATGACAAGCCAGAAAATATTTTATGCGTCTGTTGTATCGATAAAAGGTTGCCTAGATTATAAATATCATTGTATACATACGGCCTTCCTGTGCGTGGGTCCTTCAGACATCTTGCGTGCCTCATCCGCCACTAAGTCATCAGTGCATGGGAAAAATGAATGAGTTCACTCTTTTTCTTCTTTTTATAAAAAAAAATGTGGTGATACTGTGCATTATTGGAGGTCGATATTTTAGTGCTTTTATATATTTTTTTCATCATCTGCGGGGAAAGGACCCCTTCTGTCAACATCATGATTTATGTTATAATGAGCTGATGTAAAAATGCCGTATCATACTTTGGTGATTGACTGCATGGTGTTTGTACTGAAATCTTTCGTTGTCTTTAAGTTTTATAGAATGTGGAAAAGGTATTTCGAAGTGTATTAAACAGTACTCTTGATGGACATGTCCTTTTTCGTTATGCAAATACAAGTTAAGGAGCAGAGGTAGACAAAGAGTGTCAGGTCATCGTTCCGTTCATCGTGCCTACCTTTCTGTACTTCCATCATGCTATTCTGCTCTTGGTGTGCATTGAAATTTTTAAGTTGGGGTCCCTTTTTCTGTCACATGTCCCGAAGGATGTGACCCTCAAAGGGCGAAGTTACACACTTGGAAGTGTGTGGACTCCAGTTAGGTGACAACAGCAGTACAAAGATTGTGATAACCAGCATTAGTGATCTGTCAAGAACTGAAGAGGAAGTGTGGGAGCTATCCCGCTGAGTAAGCTTTTGCTTCTTTCCTCAACTGTGTTGCGTTGTGTTGGGCGAACGCTGTGATTCTCCGGAATTTAATAAGAGCGTTAACTTCAGTACAGGTTCTATGTAAATAGAAGCACTGTAGTGTTCAGTGAATTACAATGCTTATTTTAATGTTCTTTGAAATCGTCTTGCTACGATGCGAGTATACTCACGTATTTCGGCGGTCCAAAAATTATTGAAGTCAAGCATGCACAGGTTATTCTCCATGTGTCCGGGTTACCCTCGTATCTGTGAGCTTCATTCCTTCATATCGGAAGTGTGGAGGAAGGTCACAGATAAGGTCGAGGCGAAGGTGGCCTGTTATCCCCGTTTGTTGCATGAGGAGGATAGATCTGGGCGCTGGTTGACGATGTGCCTGGATCTGTTCGCGAGTGTGAATGATTGTTGAAAAGTTCCTAACTGCGTTCGTTTCAGAAACCCCGTTTTCCTCGGGTTCCGGAGTCGCAATGTTAACGGGGGTTCTTGCTGTGCTTATCGGTGTGCTTGGGTTCCGCTACCTTGTGAAGAAGTATTTTGGGAAGGACGCTTCTCGAACGCCGATTTTTTCCGAGAAAAACTTGAGTAAGCCGTTTGCTGGAGTGGAGACTGACGAAAAAATCCGCAATGCGGTTCTCAAGCAAGGTTAGTGTTTCATTAAATTGTTGGTAGGCGTTATCGCAGATCTGATTGATACAATCTGCTGAATTTGCGTGATCTTGTGAGTGGCCTTCGGGATTGTACAGGAATTATCTTGCGGCGCTTTTCGGTTCGCAGGATTTTCGATTGAAAAGGTACCTAGTGACCTCGACGCAATTTTCATCGGGAGTGGCATCGGTTCCTTGAGTGCAGCCTGTTTTTTGGCCAAAGCCGGCAAAAAAGTACTCGTGTTGGAGCAGCATGATCGGGTGAGATTTTAACCTTTCGACTACCGTGATGGAAATCTTAACAGCGGAAAAACCAGTCATTGCTGATGGGATCAAATTTTCATAACCTTTTGAAGCATCTTTACGGCTCGGTGTTCTTTTAAAAGTGTATCGTTCCGTTTTGAGTTACTCTGTTCCTGGTAGCATGAATGAAATAGAAAGAACTCGGATTTATTTCCTTCTTTTGTTTCAGGCTGGTGGTTGCTGTCACACTTTCACGGAAAAAGGCTTTGAGTTCGACACAGGAATCCATTACGTTGGGAATGAGGGCCCTGGACAACCGGACCGAATCTTGATGGACCAACTCACTGGTGGTCGCCTCCATTGGGACAAACTTGGTTCGCAAGGCAGATTTCTGCGAAAAGCCCTCAGAATATAAATTGAAGTGAATTCCGTAGACGACGTTTACGACGTTGTGAAGCTTGGCACCGGGAAAGACCAGAAGACCTTCGAAATCAAGAGCGGCTCACGTCAGATTTGGGAGAACGCGCTCATCGAGAAATTTCCGGATGAAGCTGATGCGATAAGAAAGTCAGTTCTGTTCCTTACGGATGAGATTTCCGTCATTCTGAATTTTTCCATCTTCAGGTTCACGGCTGCTTACAAGCCGATTCATACAAGCTTCTTCTACGTTGGGATGGTCAAGTTCCTGCCGTATTGGCTGATGAAAGTGGTTATCAGCCTTGGAATCATTGACTGGGTTACTGATTACAATAAATGGAATAACATCTGTGTCAGAGATTTCATCAATGTGAGTTTCTGATCCATCTGTATCAGTATGATTGAAACTGGACATTGGCAACCTTTTGTGGCTCATTTTTCTTTGAGTTTTAAAGATCTTTACTTTTGCCCAGGGTTTGACGACAAACAAGGATTTGCGTCTGGTGTTGCAGTATCTATTTGGAGACTACGGAACGCTCCCTGACAAAGCCAGCATTCCAATTCTTTCTTTGATTCATGGTCACTATTGGAAAAATGGTGGGGTTTTCGCTCTTCTGAAATTTTATTTATGTTTATAAGCACTCGTTTTTCTGCCTCCTTCCGGTTTTCACGAGGAAGATGTCTTATTCCTTGAAAATCCCATTTCAGTATCTTTGGGATTCTTTTAACTTCGAACTATGTCATTAAAAAAAACAATAATGTCCGAAAGACGGGAGAGCAGGGTAGCATAAAATTCATCTGATTTTTAGGGTTAAAGTAGTATTTTTAGGGTGCGATTGTGTGAGTTATTTTCTGTTCTCCTTCCATGCGAATATAATTTTTTTATTTAACTTTTGGTTAGGCGCCTTCTACCCGAGAGGTGGTGCATCTGAAATCCCATTTCACGTCATCCAAGAGATTCAGAAAGCTGATGGCGCGGTTCTGGTCAGAGCCAAGGTTCAATCGATTCTTCTGGATGCTGCAGAGAAAAAGGCAATTGGAGTTCGTGTGGAGAAGGGCTCTAAAACGTACGACATCCATGCACCAAAAATTATTTCCGGAGCTGGTGAGTAAACTTCTCGGTTTGGATTAGGACCAAGAGATTTCTTGTTCGAGAAGGAAATGCGATTTCACGGAAGCTGCGCTTTTCTCTTGTGAAATGAGTGGGGGAAATCTGATTTTCGCGCTTATTGTAGGGGGTAAATACTTCAGTTGTCTGAAATTTCAAGTCAATTGTAGACCAATTCTGTTCCTACGCTGTTTTTTCTTCATTTCCCGTTCAATGTTGCGGGCGGAAAACATTTTATACTGAACCACATTTTTCATGCTTCCGCGTTAATTTTTCACATCTGACGCAAGGTAATCAAATTGTCTCGCTCAGGTTTTAGGAATACATTTGAAAAATTGCTTCCGAAACCGGTATCAATGAGACTGAACAGAGTACAGGAAGTCAAGACGAAAGTGACTCCAAGTGCTTCAGCATTCCAAGCCTTTTTCGGCTTCAACGGATCCCAAGAGGAACTGAAGCTTCCGAAACATAACACTTGGTTCTACAGCACGAATGAAGATCCGGCCATTGTAAGAAAATATTTCAATTTATAGAGAAACGTCAAGTTATTATTCATTAAGAATTCGAGTTGAAATTCTGACTCCTCTTGGACTCGTTCAAGGAGATTAATCTTAATAGCTGAAGCGTTTACTGTATTATTGTACTGTACTGACATTTTCTGATTCTGAAGAAAAAATTTTAATTAAAAATGTTATGATCGCGATTTATATTAGCATACTTCGTATTGAATTTTTTTAAAGCAGGAAGAGTAACTCGTAATTGATGAATCTTTTTACTCGAGTAAATACTGTGAACGTTCAGACTTGATCAAATTTATTTTTTCAGACTATGAAGTCGTATCTGAACATGACCAGAGAAGAAGCTCTGAGTGCAGACCCACCGTTTGTGTTCATCGCTTTCCCTTCAACAAAAGACTCGACTTACGTTGAGCGACATCCAAGTTAGTTCCTTGTGTTCGTTTTCATTGTAACAAATTCTGTTCAGATTCTCCTTTGTTTGTTTTTTTTTTCGAATTGAAGATAAAATATGTTGCACTGTGGTGTCCGTGTCGAACTACGATTGGTTCCAGGAATGGTCCAGCTCTCAAGCAACAAAACGTGGCGATGAATATGAAAGCGTCAAGAATACCATGGGCCAGAGACTGCTTGATATGGTTCTTGATCTCTTTCCACAGTTGCAGGTATAGTTTCGACTACTGCTGTAGGATTTCCTTTTTAATTAACACGTTTTAATTTACTCGCTTTCTTGTCTGTTTGTTTGTCCAGATCAAATTTTTCAACTCAAATTTTGCTCACTTCCCGACTAGCTAGCAAG